TTAATAACGCTCTGGGAGAAGTCAAGTTTATGCAAATTCCAATCTATTCGAGGGTTATATTTTTCTAACCAGGATAAACCTAAAATAACTGGATTGGACGGGGATTTAATTATATTAAAAGCTATGTAGCTATCATGACCGTCTATTGTTACTTTTATAGGATAAGTTTCATGGGTGACATCTCGAGAAGACAAGGGACGACCATCTATGACTTCTACATGTACTGGTTTAGGTTTCTATACAAAGGGTATTTTACGACTTTTAACAAATTGTTCATCTAAAAAACATGCTGAGGCTCCCGAATCTAATAAAGCAGAGGCTTTGTAATTCTTAGGTCTTAAATATAAGTCTATTATAAAACTAGGAGAGGGTTCTGAGGAGAGGATAGGACCTTCATTAGGAATTGTACAAGGTTCCAGCTACACAGTCCCTATTGTAGCTGGACGAATCCGTTTTCCGACATGTTGTCTTCTTTGACCATCGTACCCCTCATTTTATAGTTGCGTCGTTTCTTTGGACAATGTTGAGCACTGTGCTTAGGTTCTCCGCAATATAAACATAATCCTTCTTGACGACGACGAATCTTTTCTTGGTCAGTTAGGGGTTTAAAACGTACTACGTCAATTTGCATGTCTTCTACTTTTGAATGTACGTTTGGCAAAGATGTTGATGTTGCCAATGAGTAATAACGTTGAGGTTCCCGTGAATGATTCTCAGATCGAAATTCAAAAAGTCGATTATCACATTTTACCGCAAAATCGATTGCTTGACTCAAAGTTTGAGGATCAGGTAAATTGAGCATCAGTTCCTTTACTTCGTATTGCAATCCATAAAGAAATTGACTGATGAATGCAACATCATCCCACTTGATGTCAATTGCAAGTTGTCAAAATTGTGAAGCATATATTGTTACTGAGCGATTTTTTTGTCGCAGAATTCGGATCTTATTTGTTGCAACATGAATTGCATTGTGTTCACCATATATAGATCAAAACTCCACCAAAAAAGCTTCCAAATTATCTAATATTAGATTTCGTTGTTCAAATAAAGACGAAAACCACGATAATGCAGAACCAGAAAGTAGAGTGCCAACAAACCTGACTTGTGATCCTGGAGTTGGATAGCTTTGCGATTGAAGTTTAATTGCCAATTGTACTTGATTGATGAACCCTCGAAACTTTGATCTCGTACCATCAAATTTCTCGGATAAGGCAATTCTTGGTTCTCTAGTGCTTACAGGGTGTTGTACAATTGGAGAAGGAATGTGATTTATTGTAGATGTTGAAGCAGCTCCGATCATTTCTATATCCCCACTTTCTGCTATTCTTGTTCTTTCCTGTGTTGGTGAATTGAGAGGATGCATCGCAAGCATTAACTCCCTCATTTGCTCTTGCATTTGTGTCATTGCACTCTTCATTTCAACAAGCTCTGCCATAATGACACTAAGAAGAAAAATTTGTTTGATACTACTCAAGACAAAAGAAAAGAAAGACTTGATAACAAAGAAGATACTAAGAACAATATCAGTTTAGAAGTGGGTAATCCGCAAACTTCTAATACGCTTATGTCTTGTCAAGAGAAAGGGGTAATCCACTCTTACTCAAGAAAAACAAAGCTCTGAATTGTAAGTGTACTCTTGTCAATCTGTCAAGGACAAGAACTCGATGAAAAACAATTCCAACAAGTGAGCCTTCACTCAAAGAGAGGTAAATAAACAAATATATATATTGAAAGAGAAAATGGAATGGCTATTGCCAAAAGACAAGAAAACTAGAGACCCTTGAAACTAGACTAGAAGCAAGAAAGGAGTTGACAAGAGTGAAGAGAGCTTCACTCTTGCCTCTATATATTTTATCTAACTAGAAGCCACGTGGCGATATTCTATAAGACCTCTAATATGTGTTGACTTTCTAGGCCACATGTCTTTGCTTGCAAGGCAAGTTTTCTATGAGTGGACTACGTAGTTAGCTTGTCCTTCAAGTTACCAACATGTGTGGCACATGGCTAACTTGTTGACCAAGTTTCTAACCTAAAAGTCAACTATGGACTCCTATAAGGTCAAAGCAGCATCTATGAAGCTTCTAGAAAGCTTCTCTAGAAGATATTGCACAATTAACCTACTTTTATCTACTTTTACATACTTTTATCGACTCTTGTAGGTAATTATATGTATATCCGTGACACGATTACATCTATCGAAGGCTATGAAGATCCACCATGTATTTTATGTGTCCCTTCTTGAGCCATATAAAACAATGAATATTTTGGGAATAAGACAAATGCCACCTCTTCCTATAGAAATAGATAGTAATCAAGAGTTCAAGGTGGAAGAAGTCTTAAACTCAAGGCTGCGTCAAAATAGGTTGGAATATCTTGTTCATTGGTACGGATATGATATTACTGAATGCACATGGGAGCCATCAAAGAATCTTACAAATACAGCAAAGAAAGTTGAAGCTTTTCATCAACAAAATCCATCAAAACCAAGATGAAGAATAACAAATCTTTGCTATAAAAGAAATAAGATCAAAGGAAGATAACATTTTATCTTCTATCTTTCTTTGTAGCTTGTGTGTATTTGTAACGTTAAGGAGATGGAGAGCCAACAACTAGCAAATTCAACTCAAGAGCTTTCATTTGCAAATTTATCATATGAAACATTGCAATTGTCACAACCTTCAAGATGATGGAATCGAGATGAAGATCCTCAAGAATGATATGTCCTTCCTTGAATAGATGGCAAAATACAATGTATTTGGAATCATGACCTTTGAAGAGACTCCCGTTCTTTGGTGATTTTATTAGAAGTAGAAACAACTCCTGACGGTGTTTTAAATGTTTTATTTGAAGGAAGTTACGAAGGCCTCAACAACGGCCAAATAACAGGGTGGTCTTCTCGCCTTGGTATGGGACTCTATCGATGGTTGAAAGGACCTATCAACCATCTTCAAAGAGACCAAAGATCGGAGTATGTGGCAAATATAATTGGCTGTAACTTGGACTTTCTCAACATATGAAGATTGCTCCTCGTGGAACTTGTTTCTAGAAAGGGAGGGAGGATAATATTACTAACATATACATTTACTTCAATAACTATTTATATGATTATGTAGAAGTAGGTAAATATAGATTAATTTTATAAAGTCTTTTAGTGAAGCTTCCTAGAAGCTTTATAGACACAGTTTTGACTTTAGATGTGTTTGTAGGTTAGAAACTTGGCCAACAAATTAACCACATGTTGGTTGCTTGTGGAACAAATTAATTCCATATAATATCTTGTGGAACAAGCTAACCAAGTAGTACATACATAGATAACTTGCCTTGCAAGTTAAGACATGTGGCTAGCAAAGTCAACATGTCCTATATGACATCGCCATGTAGCTCCTAGTCAAGAGTATATATGAAGCAAAAGTGAAGCTTTCTTCACTCTTGTCAATGCCATTCTAGTCCTTAGTCTTATTTCAAGACTTTCTAATCTTCTTGTTTTTGCCAATAGCCATTCTAGTTAATATTATATTATCTTTTGAATGTCTTTTTAGTTCTCTTCAGTGACACAAGAGTGTATTGAGGATTCTCTTTCTTTGAGATTCATGTCCCTGATAATTATACAATTGTAAAGACAAAGTTTCAATAGAATCTTGATATTTTGTTTCTCAAATATGTTGTGATTGATCTTGGATATTTTTAGAATATTATTATAGAATTTATTTAAACAAAACTTAGATGTTGTATAAGTTTATATATATATATATATATATATATATATAAATTTTTTTAGTGTACATTATTACTTTATGTAGAGTTTCATCATTTTTTCGGATTAAATATATAATTCTTGTTTGGACAAAGAATATATATATATATATATATATATATATATATATATATATAAGATATTTGATTCACATAATTTTCTAATTTTCTAATCACAAAAAGTCTAAAATTTATTTTATTAAATAATTTAAAATACAACAGGTTTAAAATTATGAAAATATATTTAAATTAATAATTCTATTGTATTACTTGAAGAATAGAATAAAAAATAAACAAATAATTTATAGATTTTAAATCATATTTCAATAAACAAAAGATAACCTCTTAACTAATTGATATGTATAAGAAAGATATATAGTAAGCAACAATAAACAGCACTAGTAGCTAAAAAAATAAGATATTTCATAAATCCATTTGAACAAATAAAAATTTAGTATATTGTCAACAATATTATTCCTCAAAATATCAATAGCAACATGCATATTCTATCTTTTGTTGACTTTTCCATCCTACATAGTCATTAAAAATATTTTTCAAATATAATTATAGATATCCAAGTCAATTACATACTCCTTTACTTAAAAAACGTGTATACTTTACAATACAACTTTAATCTTTTTTGAAATTGTCTACTTTAGAAAATAACCTTTTCATTTTCCCTTTGACATAGTACTCATTAGAAGAAGAAGAACTAGAAGAAGGAAGGAAAAAAAAAAAAAAAAAAAAAAAAAAAAAACTTTTAAACATATTATTATTATTTGTTATCTGCCAATAAATTAACATATTAACAACACACATCATCAAAAAATCACAATGTAAGAAAAAATGGACAATATTTTTTTTTAAAATGAAACAAATTATTAACTACTATTACTACTTCTACTGTGTACTTTTATGTAAAATTTGTATGCTCAACAACATCCGACTCTGCTAAAGCTCCATGCAATGATATGAAATCCGAAATTAGGGTTTCATGCAAATCAGAAAAATCAAGGGTGAGCGAACACATTTCACCGGAATCGGGAAAGCTTCCCTGCAAAAATGCTGGGCGCGGGCCCGCCTTAATCGTCGTCGTGGTGGTGATCCTGCGCGGACGACTCGTTCCATCGCCCGCGGCGAGGACGAAGGAGAAGAAGGAGAAGAAGCAGAAGCAAGCTTGCCCGCAACAAATTCCCCGCACCCACAAACACAAATCCATTATCCCCCCTCCTCCTCCTCATGGGCCTGGGTCTGCATCTCTGGGACCAACGGGACTTGGGTCCATGCAATTATTCTTCTTCTTCTGCTTCTGCTCATTCACGACCTGGTCACCAATTTTATTCACACTTATTTCTGTTGATTTTGAAGTTTGCGATCGATGCATTCTACGTGAAAACGACGAGGGGAAGATTAAAAAAAAATTACAAAAATAAAATCTGCACTCTGTTGACACTTTGGTAGTGGAATTCACCCGGTTTTTATTTTTATTTTTGTTCAGTATCAGTTATTTTCCCCTCTCTTTGATGCTGTAGTTGTAGTGTTGGATGTGAAGGTTATTGTCTGACGGATTCAACTGATCGCCCGTCGCCGAGATGTTGCTAGGGTAGAATGGTAAATCCTGCTGCGTGGCCTAGGATTGTGGGTTTCTTGTGACTGTTTTTAAAGGTTTTCGTTTCTTGGGTTTTGGGTTGGCTGCGATTTCACGTAAAGATAATGTTAGATCCGGCTTACGTTACAATCGTTGTGATGGTGGATGCGATCGGCTGTGTTGGAGGAGGGACAAGTGTCAAAGTCCATTTCGCCGGCTGTTGATGAAGAGGCGCATCGGGAGATCATGTCATGCGCATTTGAACGCCTCGTCTCTTGACCGCACCAGACGACTGGAGTGGACAGAGCGGGTTCCATTGGCTGAGATGCGTCCGTCTGTACTGCATGAAAGAAACGACAAGGGGTGCTGATCGCTAGTCATGTCCTTCTCACGTAATTTACGTCACGAAGGTGGTGGTGACAGGATTTAAGAAAGGCGAGAAAATGTGCCCCCTACTCCCTGACATTCTCGCAGAAAGAAATGGTGGTGAGAGATTGTAAACATCTCTGAGGCGACTCGCAAAAAGCATACCTACGCTTTACAATCATAGGCAGCGTCCGCCAACTCATTTTCCTCGCTCCGGTGGTGCGGACCTGCGTGTGAAGAAGGAGAAGTCATTTTAAAGTTCGTTCGCATCCTTCCCTCCGGCAAATTGCAACCCAGGACTCCGTTCCTCTCTGCGAATCGCACAATTTCTATAACCAGAAGCCCTGATCCGACACTCTTTGGCACATTCCCTGTTTGATTTCAGCTTGCTGGGTCTTCTTGCGCTTCCGCCTTCTTAGATTAGGTTGGCAATTTGAGAGCGGAAAAAATCGCTGTGTTTCCGATTTAAGAACACAACTACCGGGTCGGCAGGGTTTAGATTTCTAGATTAGAGGAATATTGAGGACATCGAGGTTGAGTATTAGCGCGTCTGATCTGAGTGCACATGATTCCTTCGGCATCAAATAATAGCTCTGTGGTAGAAAAGTTGCAGCTGGGTAAGTGAATTATTGTGGATTTTTTTTGCAGCTCGGGTAGTCAGTTTCTTGCGTCCGCTTTGACCGGAGGAGCCCTCGCGGACGTTCTCTATCCTTTGACCTGGTATTGATTGAATGTGGATATCGCGCTCCACGGTGAAGCGCTCGCTGCGGCGGTCTGATCGCGGCTCTTTCGCGCGCCCAATCTGATGCGGCCATTTGCCGTGTCGACGTTTGTTTAGCTCGATTGGAAGCTGGCTGCCTTCCACGCCTCTCTCGGTTAGTTCTCAGGATACCCTCTACCACGTCTAGTTATTCACACACCGTCACGTCTCCTTTCTAGGTTGTAGACATTGGATATTGTATGAAGCATCGTATGGGATTCGGCAAGTTATGGAGCAAATTAAGCCGAGCCACGATCCATGACTGATATTTTTGTGAGTTATCGATCAATCACCGGCACAGCTCCCCGTTTCGATTTTCAGGAGAAAGAAGGAGCTATCATGAAGTGGTTGGAGAGATTTCTTGGACCTTCTGATCATCGCCGATACGGCGACAACGAGTATTACGAGTATCCTAGAAACGGTGTGATCTCCTCGGGATCATCGTCAAGTGGTTCTGGGACTTGGGACAGTGGCCTAGAATCAGACTACGGCAGTTGTCGCTCATGGCGAGGTCCTTCTATCTTCGAGGTACTCTACCTCACTTTGTTGCTTTGAGAACTTCACAGCTCGACGTTTCTCTACAACGTCACGAAAATTCTAATACATCGTCGAAACATGCAAAATTCTACAGGATCCGTGTGCTGTTGACACGTTTCAGAACGTAGTTCCTGACCGGAGACATTCCTACGGCGGCGGAGGCTACTCGTCACGCGACACAAGCAAGTATGTGAGCCAATATGGTTCCACGACCGAGATTTACCATCCTTCAAGCGGGAGGTTCAGGCAATCCGGCTATGGCTATGGCTATGGTCAGAAAGAGCAGCCCCCAGCTTCCTACACAAGTAAACATTAAACCATGACTTTTCCATCTCTTTCTTTATTGGTGCAATTAGTTCGATAGCTCCAAACCATGGATTCCGGGTTGTGTTGAGGAGTTTTCACTTGCGCTAACGGCATTTAGGGTTTAGGAAGGTACAAGACGGAGGGTTATGACCGTAGCGAGGATCTAGCGAAGGCTTTCGAGGACTCTTTGCACCTTCGGTATCCAGCTTCGTATGTAAATGACGCCCCCATGGTTGCTCCTTTGCCGATTCCAGTCGCGGCCCCAACAACAAAGAACGTGGGATTGTCAACATGTGCTGGTTGTCACAGGACGCTCGGATTCGGAAGATTTCTGACATGTATCAATCAGAATTGGCACCCCGATTGCTTCTGCTGCAAATCTTGCCGCAGTCCGATTGTAACAAAGGAGGTAATCACAAATAGTTGTGGGATTAAATGAAATTCCTGTGACCTTCAATGAGCACGTCGCAAGCTGATAATCGATGATGGAGGAAACGGTCGTTTGATGTATCAAATATTGCGTACACTTGGGTTTTGCAGTTCTCCGTGCACGGAAGCGACCCCTATCATCGAGACTGTTACAAGAAGCTCTTCCATCCGAAGTGCGAGATCTGCTATCAATATGTAATTTAGACCTCACCTTACCACTTCCTTTCCATGCAATTCTCATGCTGAGCAGCGGAATCTCTTCTGATCGAGCTTCTTTGTTGTAGATTTCTTACAATGCCCAAGGGCAGATAGAATACCGTTCACACCCTTTCTGGAACCAGAGGTACTGCCCGTCCCACGAGAGAGATGGAAGCAAATGCTGTTGCAGTTGTGATCGCATTGAGGTACAATACAGCACCTTACCAAGTCTGGATTTATGCAGGAATTATTAGGGCTGGAAAGCAGATTTTATGAATTCATGAATCATCTTTTTGCTGGCTAAGGCCGCAATAGACCCACCGTTCAATAGACCCATCAATTATTTGTTCTGTTTATTTCATTTTCCGCGTAGTCTTTCTTTGATCAGTAACTTTGAAATGCTGAATCTGCAGCCAGTTGATCGACGGTACCAAAGCTTGGGAGATGGGAGGAAGGTGTGCCCGGAATGCATGGAGTCTGCAGTTATGACGACCAAGGATTGCCAACCTCTCTACAAAAATGTGTTGAAGTTCTACAGAGTGAACCTCGGCATGCCTATTGAACAAGATGTTCCGATGCTTCTGGTAGAGCGGGAGGCTCTCAACAAGGCTCGTGAAGTCGAAAATGATGTAAGTCTCTTGTCTCGTTGCAAAAACAGGGTCTAAAGATTCTCTCCCTTTCGTTTTCAATTTCTCGTTATTATAAGTGTCAGATTTAGGATTTTATTTCCCTGTCTCCATTTTTATAACCTGGATTTAACATGTTTCATGGTATGTATGCAGGGACACACTCACACTCCAGAAACTCGAGGCTTGTGTTTATCCGAAGAGAAAATTTTCCCAGTAAGACAACCACATCTCTTCAGATTTCGTCATGATGTATCGTTGGGTTCGAAGCTTATTTTTTTTCAGCTTCTTGTCGATTCCTTATGGTGAGACGTTTTGAGCAGGTCGTGGAAAATGGTGGCGAACCGAGGAAACTCACACGTCATTGCGAGATTACAGCCATTCTTGTTCTTTATGGCCTACCTATGTATGCTTCTATCCTTCGCTCTGATGTTCGAAACGGTGCTCAACACCCTAGACATTGACGAGCTTATTGCAGTGGTACAGCCGAGTCCATTTGAATTTAATTCCCAAGCGTTGACGACGGTTTCCTTGGGTGTGCAGGTTGTTGACAGGGTCCATCTTAGCACACGAATTAATGCACGCGTTTATTCGTCTCAACGGTCAATTTCCGAATCTGGAAAATGACGTGGAGGAAGGTATCTGCCAAGTGATCGCTCACATGTGGTTGAAAGCAGAGCTTGAAAACCTCACGCGACGAACTTCAGGTAGTGATGATTCATCCGTCAGCAAACGCTTGGGCGAATTTTTTCTGCACCAGATTGAGACGGACTCTTCGCAAATCTACGGTGACGGTTTCAGAGCTGCATCTAAAGCGGTTGCTGCATACGGCCTGCCTCGAACCCTCCACCACTTGCGACGCACTGGCGAGATTCTTCGCTAAGATGCGATCGATTTCAGGTTCTGTGAAACAATTTGTACAAATAGCACATTCTTTGTCGTCTCCGATTGCTGACCCTTGCAGCGAATCTTATTCGTGAAGATGATGCAATATCTCATGGAGACTTAGTAATGAACAGTTCGTTCATTTACCAACCAAAGAAATTACTTGTAGAGTGTAAAGTACTGAGGATTAGGGTTAAGCCTCATAGCCTCTATTGATTGCAGATGCGAGACTGTATACGCGAGACTTCGTATCCGAGGAATTTCGGTCTTGCATCTCGTCATGAACAGATTTAACTTGCAAAATGATAAATCAGATTTTGAGTATTTTTGTGCTGACGTTTGTGTGTTGGGGCATATGTTCGACTTCGTTTGGTACTTGAATTGCTTTAGCCGGTGAGTTGTGCTAGGGTAGTTGGATGATGCGGAGAGTGAGTTCACTGAATTAATTTTGGAGAATTCATGATGTTCAAAAATATCAGCGAATCTCTCGCCATTGTAGCCCTCGATCATGACTTAGTAAAAGGGAACTGTTAAACTGACCCACCTTTGCACCAAACAAACTGATTTGTATGTTTGTTCTAAAAGTTAATAAAATTTTGCACCAAAAATTGTTGTTTTACCATAATAGCCAATTTAAGAATTTTCTAATTATATATGGCTTAAAATAATAAATAGTATAAATAAATGAAAAGATGATACAAATTCCAACAATCATGACATGGTAGGTTAATATTTGCAAAATGATGATTTTATAATTTTTTTTATATTAGCTTCAATTATAAAATAAAATTTAAGAATACAATTTTTTTAAAAAAAATTATTGAAAATTATATTTGTAATAGAAAAGAAAATGTATTGAAGTAAATGTCATAGACATACATATTTATCTAGATTAAGGAAGTTAGATAGAAGTAAGTAGAAATAAATAGATTTAATATTATCTTGTAGAAAACTTCTTAAAAACTTTATAGACATGGATTTGATTTTATACATGTTTGTGGGTGATTAGTAGGTTGAAAACTTAGCCAATAACTTGACTATATGTTGCATATATTTGTTACTTGTGATACAAGTTGGTCATATGGTATACATGTAAAAAACTTGTCTTGCAAGTTAGACACGTATTAGATGTTATATAGTGTATTGTGGCATAGTTCCTAATTAGATCGTATATATGGAGGCAAGAGTGAAGCCACTTTTACTCTTTTTCAACACCTCTTTTGTTCTTAGTCTTCTTTTAAGAGTCATTGATCTTCTTATCTTTGGCAGTAGCCATTTTAATTTCAAATTATACCAACTTAAGGTGATTATCTATTCTATTTGACTGACATAAGAGTGTATTGACCTTTTTGTTCTTTTAGATTTGTATCCTTGACAATTTGTCAAGAATATTTATTTATTATTTTAATTTTTTAATTTTTTGGCCATAAATAAAGTAAAACAAAGTAGATTAGTAAAATAAATTTAATATAAATCTTAAGGAGAGAATTAAGAATAGTTTGTAACAAAAATTACCTTAAAAATCAAAAAATTCATACTCAAAGAGGACTAATTGTGAACTAGGATCAAAATTAGACCTCAAGGCATAAAACCACGCTCCTATGACAATTTTGGATTTTTTTTGTTGAATAGAGAGTGGAATTTGAGAGCACACTAAAGCAACTTTCTTTAGGCATTGATTTTTAGTGATTTGAGTTTTTAATAAATTTATAAGAACTTTGCAAAGTCACGGTTGTTTTAAAATAGTATTGATTTTAAAAAATAATATAAATGACTTATACTTTAGAGAATTTTGTGACATTAGTAGTTGATTTAAAGGTGAAAATTTGTAGTTATCTAACCATAGATGTAGTAATAGATTTTTTTAATGTGTGCAGTAAATTTAAGCTTGATTAAATGATTTATTTGAAGGTTGTTGAAATTTAAGTATATTGAGGTCTTAAAAATTGGAATTTAGAAGACCATTGAAGGTTTCTAAGATTTGTAGCAATCCATTAGTTAGATTGAAATAATAAAAAAAAAAACAAAACAAATTGTGGAAAACTTGATTTTCAATAATTTTGCTTAATTTGAGGGCAATTGGATGATAAAATCAAGAGATATTGATGCAAGGAAATTATCATCAGAATTGGAGAAGGACTTTGACTAATATCAAAGTAGATCATGAGGTTTTTCTTTCATTTGGTAAATTTGGTCTTTTTCAAAGTATTTGTACTTTTTTTAATTAAATAATTGAAAGATGTAAAAATTATAAGTTTAAACCAATAATTTAATTATTAATGAATAAGATATTAATTAATTATAGGATTTTATTAAAATTTAATTAATTTTTAATTAATTTTTTATTATAATTTGATTAAGATTTGATTAGGATTTGATTTGGTTAAAATTTGGTTAGAATTAAATTTTAAAATTTAAGATTTGATAAATATATAGGATTTATTCAAAGTGTATTAAAGATTATTTAAGGATTAATTTAAAATTAATTAAAATATGATAAGATTTATCTAGGATTTTTAAAAGTTTAATAGGATATTCTGAAGATAATTTAAAGCTTAGTTGAATTGTAGAAAGATATTAAAAGATATTCCTAAATATCTTATGTATAATTTTGGATTATAAATTAAACTTCAAGCGAAGTTCAAATTCTTCTATAATCAAATGCCTAGTACATTTTTATATTAGTTTTTACATAACATGACAACATTATTTTCATTCAACTTATACATTTGTTAAAGTTCTTTGTTTTAGATATGGAAGGAAAAATTATAGATGCTATACTTGACAAAAGTGAAAATAAGTTTGCAACTATTACAAATCTTTATATATTGTCAATACTCTCAGAATGAAAATCTCACATATTACCAACATCAACTATAAAGGTATTATTTTTATGACCATGGAAGAATGCAATAATGAAATTTAATTCATATGCCGAAAAATTTTACTCTTAAGAGAAGTATGTAGATCAACTTTGTAATTGAATCCAAGAAGTTTTTCTATTATAAATATAAGAGAGACAAGGATCAATATGATAGAGAAGTTTGATGGAATAAGATTAAAATTTGGAGGATTTTTACAACAAACTAATTTTTACTTAAAATTATATCTTTCTGTATTTTGTCATCGATTTATTCAAGTTGGATTTATAAGCATACTTCTTTTTGGAAGTACTCTCTTTTAATTTTCATCTTTAATGAAATAAGATTTGTGACTTATAAATAATCTATTGTCAAGGATAAGAACTTGATAAAGGCAAATAAACAAGTGAGACTTTTTTCAAAGAAAGAAAATAAAATAAAATAAAATAAAATATATATATATATATATATATATATATATATATATATATTCAAAAAAAACTTGAATGGCTCTTGCCAAATGACAAGAAAATTAGAAATTCTTGAAACTAAACTAAAATAAAAATAAAAATGACAAAAATGAAGAAGACTTTATTCTTACATTTATATATACTATCTAACTTAGAGCTATGTGGTGACATTCTATATAACCTCCGAGACATGTCTAATTTGCTAAATATGTATCTTGACTTTTATGATAAGTTTCTTATACAAGCGCCATATAATTAACTTGTATTACAAGCTATCAATACATATCAGACATGGCTAATTTGTTAGCCAAGTGTTTAACTTATTAATCACATATAGATATGTATAAAGATAAAACTTGATTTATAGAGCTTTTATAGAATTCTTCTATAAAATATTATTAAATTAATCTATTTTTATTTATTCTTATTTATTCATATTATCTAGATAATTATTAGAATAAATATGTATGTTTAAGACATTTTCCTTCCTTCTAGGCATGAGTTCTATGATAAGTGGTAATTACATCTTGCTAAAGTTAAAGATGTGATAAATTACATTTGTCACATACTCTAATCTTTTTTTCCTTCAAAAGTAGTTGATAGATCTTTTCAGCCATTGATATTATCTCATTTGAGGGTGAAAAGACCACCTTGATATTTGATCATTGTTGAAACCTTTATAACTTTCTTCAAACAAAATGTTTATTATACTATCAAGAGTTTTTTTTACCTCCAATAAAATCACCAAATATTAAATGTTTCTTTTAAGGTCATCATTCTAAATGCATTGTATCTTGCCATCTACTCAAGAAAAGATATATCATTTTTAAAGGTCTTTACCTTGATTACATCATTTTGAAGGTTGTGATAGTCAGAATAACTTATCCAATAAGTTTGTAAACAAGAGCCCTTGAGTTGAATATGTTGATTGTTGTTTTTCTATCTTATTAGCATTACAAATATAAAAAATCTAGAATAAAGGATAAACAATAAGATGCAATTTTTAATAAAAATTCTTTCTTTTATACCAACTACTTGTTTGACTCTTTATCTTGGTTTTTATAAATGCTGTTGATTAAAAGTTTTGATCTTCTATCACGGGTATATAACTATAATAACTATTGCTTGCATAATATGAATAGGTAGAAGTAGGTAAAAATATGTAAAAATAGATTAATTTTATAATATCTTTTAGAAAAGCTTCCTAAGAGCTTTTTAGACATTAGTTTGACTTTACATGTATTTGTAATTGATAGGTATGTTAGAAACTTGGTAAACAAGCTAACCACATGCCACATGTATTGGTAGCTTGCAAAACAAGCTAACTATATGGCGTCCATAAAGAAAACTTGTCTTACAAGTTAAGATATGTGTCATGCAAAGTCAATGCATATTTGGAGGTCGTATAAAACATCTCCACATAAATTCTAGGTAGATTATATATATATAGAAGTAAAAGTGAAGCATTTTTCATCCTTATCAATTATTTTTTTGCTTCTAGTTTAGTTTCAAGGGTTTCTAGTTTCCTTGTCTTTTAGCAATAGCCATTCTAAATTTTTTTTAATATATATAATTTTCTATTTTTATTTCTTTAAAAGAATCTTATTTATTTATTTTCTTTGATCAATTCTTATCTTTGATAAATTGATAAGAGAATACTTACAATATTAGAGCTTTGTCTTTTCTTGATTACCTTTTTCTCTTCATAAGACTTAAAGGTATTACGAGTTGCAAATTATCTTCTTCTAGATTAATATTATTTTTAGCATTTTTTTCTTTATTTCCAAGTTTTTTCTTCTAGTTGTCTTGAGCAATATCAGACATCTGTCTTTTTTTAAGTGTTATTATAAAAAAACTTCTTTAAATGAAGAATGCAATGGCACAAATGCAAGAGCAATTTAGAGAGTTAATGCTTGCAATGCATCAACTCGATTTACCACCACAAGGAGCAAAGATATAGAGATGATTGGAGTTGCTTCAATATCTACATCAAATCATGTTTCTTCTTCTATAGTGGAATATCCTTTCAATATTAGAGAACCAAGGATTACATTGCCTAAGGAGTTTAATGTCACAAGATCTAAATTTTGATGTTTTATTAATCAAGTACAACTTGTGATTGAATTTCAAGTTGTACTTAATTCCAAAGCTATTGAACTCTAGTATTGCAAGTTAGATTTATTAATACACTCCTTTCACAATTAGAAT